AGTCCTTCACCTCGTTATTGGAGCAAGCCGGCCTTCCTGCATCATATCTCCCGCTCCCGGCGCAACGATTGCAAGAGCTGCCCTCGTTACACACTCAGGAGGTGGATGATCATTTCAAAGCTATGGTGGAGGAGGCGTACAGGTTTGGATGGTTTCAGAGTCCAGGAGCCACGCGTATTGCTGTCACGTTTGACTCTCTCGATGCATTGCTTGCGCCCCTACCAGTGATTGAGGAGAGTCATGAAGACTTCTGCAGAATTGCTGTCAACTCATACGCGCGCGTGGGCTTGGTACCTCATTTGAAGATTGGTAAAACAGAGTTGACGTTGCAGTTGTCTGGCCCTGGGTCCGCCAAGTTCCGGCGTCGCGTGTTTCACTCATTGGGAAAGGTTTACCTTGTGAGGTCCATGTTTGTTGGTGGGGCCATCAATGTCGTTCGCACTGCAGTACACTTAGGTTCTGCTATTACTGACCGTGCGTTGTTGGGCCCTGAGCTTGTGCACCGCGAAGCTGAATCACGGGCACAGCTACCAGTGCTAAGCAAGGCCTTCAAGAGGGCCACCAACGCATCTATCGTACCTAAGTTAATATTTACGGATTCACGTGTCATGAATTCTGCGCTGTATGGAGCAGGTACATGGTATAATATGTTTAGCAGTGACATGAGTAGAGTGCGTTCACAATACGTACGAAGATATAGGCGTGTGTTGCGATTGCCGTGTTTTGAGGCTGGAGGCCCTACAGACGATGACGCCATGCCCGCTGCACTAAGGCCTGTGGTGACTGTGGTGCCACGGGCTGCTCGGCTTCGATTATTTGGGCAGGTCTTGGCAGCTGCTCCTGCGCCTCTCCTTGCTCTACTACATGCTGAGTATGTCCAGGGCAACATAAGGGCTAAACAAAATGCATGGTTGCATCAAATCCTGCACGACTTGTCCTGGTTAAGATCGTCTCATCATGTTTTCCAGGACATGCCCTTGCCATCTTCAGACTCTGGGGCCTGGGTTAAGAAAGTGAAAGCGTCCAGGGGATCTTGGTTGCGTGCGATTCAGGAAGTTACTAAGCCTGCTGTTGCTAAGGCGAGACGAGATCTGCAAGCTTCTAGATGGGAGAAGTGTCTCCTGAACACGATGAAAAGTGAAGGCCTTCCGTCTGCCAGAGACTTGCTTGAGCCTGCTGCGCGCAAGTGTTTCAAGTGTCATTGGCGCGAGTTTGTCACTAAAGAAAATACCTCCTCTGGACGCCCACAGTCGGGCAAATCATACCACTCTGTCAGGCGCTGCTCGGGGGCATGTCGCTGAGAATAAATGCCTGGCTTGTATAAGAATGTTTGAATCGAGAGCGCTGCTGGTCAGACATGTCACGACCTGGCGCCCGGTTTGCATGGTGTTTCACGTTACGCAGGTTCCCCCTCACACTCCAGAAGTGTTGATGGAGCTTGCGGAGAAGGAAAAGCAGGATAACAAGCTTGCCTTCAAGCGGGGATACTCATCCCCTCATGCCTCAATTCCGCCCTGCATAGCCTCAGGCCCGATCCATCCAGCAGCCAGGGGCCTCAATGCTATGTTTACTCGGTCGCAGGCGCAGCAGTTTTTGCAGAATGTCCTTCTGGATGTCACTGGCTGGCCCAGGAAGGCCCTGGATCTGGCGAAGGCAGATGGCCCCCCTGCTCCAGGATCTGCAGACGGCATTCTTCTAGATTGGCCATATGATAGGAACGAATATACAGGTAGGCTGGCTTCTATAGTACCTCGCAGACTGCATCGCCGATCCTTTTTTATTGTCCATGTGTTTTGTGGCCAACGACGCGTCGGTGACATTCAACGTGCTGTAGAAACTGCGTTGGAGCTCGTGCTACCTGATGTGGAGATACGCGTCCTGCCCATAGATATTATATTAGACTCTGATGTTGGAGACTTTAGTAAGCCGTATACTGTTGAGTTTTGGGCAGCTCATATTAAAGCAGCTAGAGTGGCTGCTGTAGGAGGGGGGGGGGGGGGGGGCACGCGAAGCATTCTCCGCGTCTAGGTGGAGAGAGATAGGGGGCCCTCCTCCGCTGAGGTCCTGGAATGCCCCATGGGGGCTAGCGGCTTTATCCCCCCAGGCAGAGACTCCAAGTTCAGGTCGCTAATGATTTATATATGGCCATCGTAGAACTACTATGCGTTGTTGCATGTGTAGGTGCTGCAGGGTGGGTTGAACACCCAGCGTCACCCACCTGGGAGCCCAGAGCTCCCATCTTGGTCCTTCCGCCCCACCAAGGCCCTTGTGTCTGCTCCCGCGTGCTCGTTTACGGAGTTTGATCAGTGTGAGTTTGGCCAGGATGACAGAGCACCGACAGGACAGAATGCCGTCGTTATCCACGCTCATAACATCCACCCCAGGAGGAGGGAAGTGTAGCCACGGCCCAAGGGCCCATGACGTGTTGTTGGACAAAAAGGCCGGCGGCCCCTTCCGTACTTCCAAGAGAAGGTGTACCCGCCAGCTTTGTGTTCTGCACTATCTCAAGCCATGCTGGACAAGGCTCTCCCGAATATTCAATTTTGTGCGGAGAATGACAGTGATCAGCGTGAGCTGCTCAAAAAATTGTTTGTTTCCACGGCTTCACTAGTCTCCGAGGTTCCAGGTTCGGGCCCAGACTTTGCAGTTCCAAGATCCGAGAGGAAGCAGTCAACATATTCTAGGATTAGGTCTATCATTGGCGAAGATAGGGACGTGTGCGACGGTCGTGAGAACGATCATGACACTCACTCTGTCGCCATGTCATTTGCCAGGGAGCCCACTCCAGGGAGCCCCCAAGGGGTTTCTGACCTGCGTAGTGTTCCCGCTGTTCCCCCTCCACCCCTTCCCCTTCCGTTGTCAGACGCTGTCCTGGCAAGGATTGCGGCCAACAGAGCCGAGGTGGTGCGTCGGCGCAGGGAGAGAGTGGCCGAAAGAAGACGTTTTCCCATATTCAGTTTAAACTTGTTTGGGCCACCTCCCGAGCTGCCGCCACCAGCTGCGGCCAATGAGAAGGTCCAGGCAGATCTCCACAGGCGGTTCAAGGCCGCCACGGATGGAGGAGCAGGCGCAGGCTAGCTTCGTTTTGTTTTTGTTCGTGTCGTGTCTTGTATTGTTGGGAAGGCTGGAGGATGTTAGCTTGAGATGATTGGGGAAGGAGGCATGTGCTTGTGCAGTGTTAGGTCACGCTCGTGCCGAATCAGGATGGCATTCAGATTCCATATCGTGAGTAGATTACCTAACCAGTTGTCGAGGCCCTTCTAAGGGCCTACTCTGGTCTGCAAGTTCAACTTGTCTTGCACACCCCCGGCAGCGCCGTCCCGAGTGACGGTCTTTCGCGGCCCCCCGAGTTCCGAGTTCCGAGTTCATCCTCCTTCTCCTCCTCCTCCTCCTCCTCCGCCTCCTCCTTTTACTCCTCCCTCCTCCTCCTCCTCCTCCTCCTCCTCCTCCTCCTCTTCCTCCTCCTCCGGCCAGTGGGTGATCCGCCCGACCCCCGCACGAGCGCGGACTGCTGCGCCCAGCTGGGTCCACTGGCGGGGCCCCGCGCGAGCGCGGGGCACACCTGCCAGCCAGCGCCCGCGGCGAACCCCCCCGCGGCAACGCCGAGGGGCCCAGAGGAGGAAGAGGAGGAGGACGAAGAGACGGAGGCGAAGACGGAGGAGGAGGAGGAGGAGGAGGAGGAGGAGGAGGAGGATTAAGAGAAAGAGGAGGAGGAGGAGGAGGAGGAAGGAGGAGGAGGAAGTGACGGAGGAGGAGGAGGAGCAGGAGGAAGAAGGCTGGCGCCAGGAGCTGGGCGGGGAAGTGCCATCCTTCGGTCACGTGGTGGACACTTGAGTTATGGAGTAAACAGAAGGAGGAGGAGGAGGAGGAGGAGGAGGAGGAGGCCCGCATCCTGATCCGCAGCACGCCGCTGGCGCAACTCCTCCTGCTCCTCCTCCCCCTCCGCCCCTTCCTCCTCCCAGGTGCGGCCGCGGGTTGGTTTCTGAGCTTTCCTGCCCGGCGCTAGAATCCGGGTACATTGGGACACTGGGGGGGCCGGTGTTTGGTATTGGGGGGGGCCCCCGCACACAACCAAAGCGAGCAAAGATTGCGCTCCGCCGGAGGAGGGGGAGGAGGAGGAGGAGGAGAAAGGACCAGAGTGAACCCAAAACGAATCAAACATGTTGCAATGTTCCTTCTCTCCAAGTTCCCTCTTCACAGGTCCCTACAAGGATTTATTTTTAGTTGGGGAAGTGTCCCCTTAGAAGACAACCGCACGAGAATCTTGAACCGCGCCAAAACACCATTGTTGGGGCTTCAGCGACGCGAATCAACGTGACTGCTGCGCCCTGACGATCCTGAATCGCGTCAGAACACCATCCCTGGGACTTCAACACAGCGAGCCAACGTGACTTTTGCGCCGTGACAATCCTTCGTCGTGCCAACACATTGTTTCTAGCACGCCAACCATAAGAATCCTTGAAACCGTTGTCAATGCGCGCGGCGCGAAGGCGAGAGCCACAGGTTGAAAATTGTACGCCCTCCATCCGTGAACTTCTTTGCAAACTGGTAGAACGAGTGCGCGCGGCGCTAAGGGGAAAACCACAGTTTGAAAACGGCTTGCTCGTTCCGCGAAGTTATTGCAAAGCCTAAGATTTAGGATCATGGATGTTGAGGAAGTCTCAGGCGACACGCCCTGCCCGTCCTGCCGAGACGCTTCGGGGCGCGACAGGTAGGATTTATGCAAAAGGAAAGGAAGTGGAGGGAAGGAGGATGAGGAGGAAGAGGAGAAGGAGGAAGAGGGAAGAGGAGGACGAGGGAGGGAGGAGGGCGGGAAGGGGAGGAGGGAGGGAGGGCGGAGGGAGAGGGAGGAGAGGAGAGGAGGAGAGAGAGGAAGAAGGAGAAGGAGGAGGAGGAGGAGGAGAAGAGGAGGAGGAGACGGAGGGGGGAGGAGGGAGGAGGCAGAGGAGAGAGGAGGAGAAATGCCCTGCAGCCAAAGCGCCACCCCCGGGTGAGGAAGCTCGAGGCCTCGGACTCGGACGGCAAAATGGATTTGACGGAGCTCGTCGCGCTCCCTCCACCCGTGCTCCCCTCCTCCTTGAACCCCTCCTTGGGCGAAAGACGCTCACAAACATGAAGGCTCCTCCTCCTCCTCCTCCCTCCTCCTCCTCCTCCTCCTCCTCCTCCTCTTCGTCCTCCTCCTCCTCCTCCTCCTCCTCCTCCTCCTCCCCCTCCTCCTCCTCCTCCTCCTGCTCCTCCTCCCCCACCTCCTCCTCCTCTTCCTCCTCCTTTTCCTCCTCCTCCTCCTGCTCCCCGTCTCCTTTCCGTCTCCTTCTCCCATCTCATCAGCATCATCAGCAGCAGCAGCAGAGCATCATTCAGCATCCGCAATCAGCATCACACAGCACGTTCGTCACATCATCCTCATAATCATCATCAGCATATCATCATCATACATCAGCATCATCATCATCATCATCCCCCTCTCCTCCTCCTCCTTCTCCCTTCTCTCCTCCTCCTCCTCCTCCGCCTCATCCTCCCCTCCCTCCTCCTCCTCCCGCCCTCCCTCCCTCACTCCCTCCTCCTCCTACCTCCTCCTCCTCCCCCTCCCTCCTTCCTCCTCCCTCTCCCCTCCCTCTCCCCCTCCCTCCTCCTCTCTACCTCCTCATCCTCCCTCTCCATCCTCCCTCCGCCCTCTCCTCATCCCCTTCACGCTCCCTCCTCCTCCCCCTCCTCCGCTTCCCATCCCTCAACCAGGCCAGTACCATCATTCGCTTACGTCCTCTCTATCTTATCGCTTCCCCTCCCCTCCAACCTCCACCTCTCATCCTCCGCCTCCTCCTCCTCCTCCCTCATCCTCCTCCATTTCCGCCTCCTCCTCCCTTCCTCTCCTTCCTGACACCCGTTCATCCTTCGCCCTCTATCCTCCTCCTAGATTCCTCCTCCCCCTCTCCCCCTACTTCTCCTCCTCCTCCTCTCCTCCTCCTCCGCATCTCATCATCATCCTCCCTCCTACCTCTATTGCCTCCTCCTCCTCATCCTCCTCATCTCATCCCTCTCCTGCCTCCTCATCCTCACCTCATCTCTTCTTCCTCCCTGTCCTTACCTCATCCTCCTCCTCTGGGACATCTTCCTCCTCCTCCTTTTTCTCCTCCTCCCTCCTCCTCCTCCTTCCTTCCTTTCCTTGACCTCCTTCCTCCTCCTCCTTCTCCTCCTCCTCCTCCTCCTCCTCCTTGACCCTCTTCATCCTCTCTCCCTGCCTCCCCCCTTCGTCCTACAAGATCGAGGCGATGGGCACGCGTTTGGCACTTCTCAGGCCTCCAGAGGGACCTATGGAGGCCCCGTGGGCCACTGGAAGTTTCCGAAGGCCTCAGGGGCTTCTGAACGGCCGCCCCCCCTTTCCTTTTCCTTCTCGTCGAGGAAAGAACGAAGAAGGCCCACGAGAAATACGTAGGAGGGGCGGCAGGAGGAGGAGGAGGAGGAGGGTGGAGGAACTCCTCCTCCTGCTCCTCCTCCTCCTCCCCCATCGCCTCCTCATTATCCCCCCCTCGCCCTCTCCTCCCACCATTTCCCCTTCCCCGCATCCCCTCAGACCATCCTTTCCGCCCTTCTTCTAGTGACCCAGAATCGGTCGATGTCCAGCGACCTTCGGTATCGAAAAAGCGATCGTGCAAGGCTACACGAGCCACGCGGCGTCGGAAACCGCACGATACAACAGTGAACGATATCAAGCCTGTGATGTTGATGGCTGCTTTTTGCAGGCCCGATGTTTTTGCGACGACCACGCTGCCGGGTCGGACCGGCCTGCGCAGAAACAGCTTGCCCTGGTCGGCGACGAGCGAGGAGGGAAGTGAGAAGGAGAAGGCCTTCTCAGAAGGCGGAGGGGCTTCTCAGAAGCGCTCCAGCCTTTGAGAGGCTTCTCTTTCTTCGGGGAAGGCCCCGCAAGTTTTCTCACATGGGCCAGGAGACTTCCGAGCCTTCTGGGAAGGCCCGGCCTCGTTCACTTCCCCCCCAGGCTCGCCGCCGCCCTAGGGAAGGGAACGTATCGTACGATGCCGACGGCCTCCGCCGCTCCACGTGCGCGGAGCGGGATGCAGCCGCAGCGGGCGGCACCTCCCGTCGGCGCCCTGCAGCTGGCACGGCTCACGAAGCTATGCAATCGCATGCCTCTTTTGGCCCGCTACCTCTGCACCGACAGCAGAAGCGTTAGTTGAGTTACTTACTTTGTGACGATTCTTTCGTAGCACCAGGCAATATTTCACATGCACCCGGGTTGTATTTGTTTTCATTGCTCAACAACGCCCTCTCCCCGGTGCTGGGGCTGGAGGATCCGCGACACCTTGGCAGTAGCACTCTTGAAAAAAGAAACGGTAAAATGCCAGCGGCAATTGAAGTAAACAGCATGCTTGACCAGACGCCATTTTCTGCTTTCGCGTCCGCGAAATCACAATATTCCGACTATGGGACCTGTGGTTCGGGCGAAACCCGACATCGTCGCCGCCGCCAAGTTCTCCCGAATTCTCCTCCCTCCTCCTCCTTCTCCCCCTCCTCCACCTCCTCCCCCATCTTTCCTAGGCCCTCCGCTCTCCTGGCGCCGAGGACCTCACCCAGGTTTGCGTGTCCCTGGCTCGGTGAGCGGGCGCGCGGAGCCCGAACGCGTTCTCCCGGGAGGGTGGCCCCGCGAGCTCCGTGGAGCGGGGCGTGAAGGGCGGAGCTGTTCGACAGATTCTGCGAGGATGGTGTCGAACGATTCCGAAGGTTCTGGACAGGTTTTCACAGGATTCCTTCTGCGAGGTCCCGGGCCACCAAGACGACGACTTGCAGCGAAACAAACACATCACTCTCGGGACGTGTGCTAACCCTGCGTTTGCTTTGGCATCGTTCGGACGTGTGCACCTTTTTCTCCGCAATGACCATCGAGATCGAGGAGCATGTGGGGTCATGTTGCGAGTTTTTAATCTTATATAAAAATAGATGTTTTCAGAAAACGAAGATGCGCGGAGAATTGACGTCCGAACGATGGCGAGTTGCTAGCGCGCTCAGCTCCACCGATGGCAAGCGGCTGTGCTGGGGGGCGGGGGGGGGGCCCAGAGATCCAACGCATTGAAAAAGTCAAGACGGAGGTTCTTATTTTTCGGCCTCTGGGGGCCCTCGCCGGGCCCCGGGACCCGTCAAAAACCGACTCAGGATGCAAAACCGGTCCTGGGGAAGGGGTGGTCCTGGGGCATATGGGTCGAGACCCCCGGGGGTCCCGCATGGGAAAAAAGCACGGCAACGGATCTCTGGGGGGAGGGAAAGACTTGGCCAGGCGAGAAGCTCGGCCAGGCCGAACTCTCGGCCAGGCTGCACGGGGCCCCGGGACGAGGGCGGCCTGAGCGAGTGCCGCTCGGCCGAGCTTCGCCTGGCCGAGCCCAGCTGTGGCCGCCGGAGGGGCCGCCGGAGGGGGGGGGGCGGGAGGCGGGGAGCGGAGCTGGGCAGAGCGCTCGGGTCGGAGTCCGGCCCGCGGGGCGCGGAGGGCCCGCGCTCCTGGAGGCCGACCGGCTGCGCTCTCGGGCGCGCGGGCTGTAAATATTCTGTAGGGGGTCGGCCAACGATACGTCGACCGTGGCCCGGATTACCGCGCTCCAGCAGGCAGCAGCACGAGGGATCTAGATTCATCTGCTCCTTCGAGCAGCCCCACAATCTTTCAGGTGGCCAATAACAGGAGCTCATGTTCGACCCAAAGGGCTGTTCAAGGTATGGCGTAGTTTGTGTTAGTGGGATTTCGTGGGTGCTCAAGTGGAGTTTCTTTTAGGGGGGTATGTTTAGCAGGGGGTAGTGGGACTTAGCGGGACCGCAAGGGTGATTTGGTGGGTTGTAGTGTAGAGGCTGTGTAAGTCCCATTAGCCAGGCGCATGTGCGACTACGTGAAGCTCCGATGCTTGGCCACCGAAGATCTCGTGCCCCAGAGATCCGATGTCGTGATTTTTTTCCATACAGGGTCCCCGGAAGCCTCGATCCATTCCCCAGCACCGGTTTTTTATCTTGAGTCGTCTTCCACGGTCCCGGGCCCCGGGGCCCGGCAAGGGCCCCGAGAGGCCGAAGAATAAGCAAAATTTGCGTATTGATGTTTGTCAATACGCTGGATATCTGGGGCTCCATCTTTTTGTTCGTGTACCTTTTTCGACAAGCGCGGTGCGGGGCCCTGGCGCCGAACCCAATTCCGCCCAGGGCCGCCCGGGCGTCTGTGCTCGCGCGTGCCGCCCCAGGGGGCTGCATGGCCTCCTGCCAGGCCGTGCAGCCTGTTTGGGCCGCCTCCTCCTCCTCCTCCTCCTCCTCCTCCTCCTCCTCCTCCTCCTCCTCCTCCTCCTCCTCCTCCTCCTCCTCACTTTAAGGGTAGCTCTTTGGGAGATGTTTCAGTATCGGGAGCATAGCTCGCGCGCCGTTGCCTTTGGCTCAAGGCACGCGCGCCCGATTTGCCCGGACACCGCGAGTGTTCGCTATGTGCTGGAAAGACCGATACATCGATCTTATCCTATCTTATCCGCCCATTCCTCTTACTGAACCACGTCAGTACGATACCGGACGCTATTTGCCATCCGATGTCTACGGAATCGGATGCTATTTGAGTTACCAGGCTCACTTTCGACTTGGTAGCGGAGCTGGCCGCACTCTCGTGTGGTCAGCTCTTGCTCTTCTTAGCCTCATACTCTTCGGCACGATCTTCGTGGCCACCTACAACCCTGCGCTATCACTCCCAGTACGTTTACGAGGATCTATCCAAGAGCAAGAAGCGACACGAGAGGTACGACGTCTAGACAACGATATCGGTACTATATACGCTTCATCATTGCGCTACTACCAACCGCTCGGCAACGAGCCAAAAGCGCAATACCTGAAGCATGGGCGGAGAGATCCGCCAGATAGAGCGCCTTGAAGACTCGACAAGGCGCTACCCCAGCGCGGCAACGCGCCTAATAACCACCCCTATCTACACAGCCTTGGGCTGGTTATCTTCGCTATCATATGGCTCGCGCTGGGGGCAGCAATCGGACACATGCGTCGTGGAGACAAAAGCACCGATGGGCAAACACATGGCCCATATTGGGACCCTCAAGGCAACGTACCTTTCCGCGAGTACGTCTATGAGGTCAACGCATGGCTCAACGTCACAAGCGGACGTATGACGCCACAGGCCCAAGCGGCCGCCATACAACGCGGCCTGGGTGGCCTAGCGAGGACACTCGCCATGAGGGTACCGCCTGACATTATAAATTATGGTGCTGACATCGATGGGGTCCACACCGACCCAGTGACCTACATCATGTTCCTCCTAAGCATGAAGTTCGAACGCCTGGAAGATGAGCGCCAGCTCACTTCCGGCACAACAACTCATCGACTTCCACGTGCCTCACGGGGAACGAATCGATGTCACCCTTACCCGATTCGAAATGGCCCGACTTGAGGCACAGTCGGTGGGATTTGACCTTCCCAACTTCCAACTACTAACCACGATCCTGTTCCGCGCCTTAGGCGTCGGCAACCAGCGAGCCATGCAACTCTTACAGCCACTCAATCACCAAATGCCCCGAACACAACAACAGTATGATGAGTTGCTGGAGAGGATGCGTTCGATAGGTCACCTATCTGAACGGTCTCCTGGTAATATAGGATCTGTGTTTGGAAGGGGAAGGGGATCTGGTAGTGGAAATTTCTACACTACCTTGACCACTGAAGCCCAGCCTGGGAACGGGCCCTCAAGCATATGGGCCGATGATCCTGGAGAATCCACTGCTCTACTAGCAGGAGATCGATCACAACCAAGCTGGGCTAACAGCCCTCCTTCTAGAGAACCACAACCACACCGTTCCCTATGGGGTGAATCAAACCCCCTAACCGACGGTGCATCCACCTACTTGGGAGACGAGGACTTCGACTCCGGCACCGACACAGATACTATATCATCAGACGGTGTTGAAGCTTTAGATTGGTCAGATATTATGAATATGGATAATGACAATCAGCGTGCTGAACATTTGTTCTGGTTATTACAACAGGCTAAACGGAGGTGGGGGAGGTTCACACGAAAACCAGTGCGTCGTGTTAGGAGGAGGATACGGAGGAGCTTCAAGGGAAAAAGGTAAAGGTAAACGAGGTCGTCGGAGGTTGAACGGACGAGGCATCACGGCATTCCTCCAGAGGCCCCAGATGAACAACATGATGAGATATTCTTCGGGGGAAAGGGCCGTGGCAAGGGCCGTAGAGGGACCTCAGGAAAAGGCAAGGGTAGGCGGGGAAACCCGCGAGGTAGAGACGGCCAGGTTCTTAAGTGCCATGAATGCGACAGTACCGACCATCTTGTGCGAGATTGTCCAGCGAAGGGACATGGAAAGGGCAGGTCGACCGAAGTCCATTTTGGCTCAAGTGAACCATTCATCGAATATCTGAGCCTCCAGGATTTTGAGGCCATGGAACATATATTTTACACTTGGGTCAGTTGCATGGGCAACGTCGACGAGCTCGAGGCGCATGGTCATGGATTGTACGCGTACTATCTCGAGTACGTCCGCAGGTTCGTTGTTGGCAATAACGAGCTCACTCCCGTGGAACACGTAACGCTGGGAAACCAGCCTTTATCTTTCTTCGACTGGATGTTCGGGAACCCAGGCAACATCATGGCCTACGAGAACAGTGACGAGGACATCACTGTAGAGGCCTCGCCTTCAGTGGTTGACCACAACCTCCAACCTCCTCCTGAACTCCCGCCTGGAAACAGGCCTATCTATCCTCGAACTAATGATGACCTTATCGAAACGGAGTCTCAAGCATTCGTTCAAGCTGCCATTGCAGGCGCACCAGAGGTCCCACTTGCACCCCCTGGTTCGCCTGATCCAGGTGAGTACGGACCACGCACACTACTGCAAACCCTCATGAGGATGCACGAGGCATTGATCATCGCATACCCCGAGAGGCAAGAAAGCATCGAAGCTGGCATCATGTACATGCAGGACACTGATGCCTGTGACGACTCGGAGTTAGCGTTGGCAGCTTTGACTCTCATTGACAGCGTGCATCCTGAGGACGTGCAGAGACACGTGATATACTCCCGCGGGAGATGGCGTGATGCTCTTGAAAGGGCCATCGCCATGCGCGGTCAGGCTCTTCCTTCGCCAGGATGGGGTCTCCAGGCGGTGGGACTGTGGCCAAACAATACGGCCATGCGCAACATTGCTGGGCAGCCTGTGCTCGGCAACGGGCCTGAGCCGACAACCGCGCCGCCTACCCCGGGGCAGCCGAGCGACGCACTGACGCCGGCTATGCAGGGAAACCTGCCTGTCCCAGCTGCGCCAATGGCCATCATCATTGGCAGTTCTACATCAGAAGGAGAAGAGGGCGATGAATGCGGGCTATGCGAGGACGAAGTCACAATCCTCATGATGGAAGTCAACGGAGAGGTAGAGGTGGACTTTGATCCCGACGAGCCTGAAGTACCATCACCATCGGCACAAGCGCCATTTGCGCCGAGCCCCAGCCAGCAGGGAAACCTGCCTCATGTGGCCGATCCACCTGTGATCGCACAAGAGCCTCCGCAGGCGCCTCCGCCGGCTACCACTCCGGCTGCTTCGGCAGCCTCTTCTGATGAGAATGCTGGAAGGTCTCGTTCCCATCCACGTGTCAGGGGAGAGCCACATCCACAGGCTCGGCTTCCTCGTGAGTGGAGGCAGGCTGGCCCGAAAGAACACGCTCTCAGGCGAGGTGGCCAGCTGCTTCCGTATAATGACCCAAGACGCCGAAAAGGGGAACACTCGGCCTTCGGCAAGGGCAACCCTGCCTATAGGGGCGCTGAGGGCAAGGCCATCCGCGGAGGCTATCAGATTGCAACAAACATCCGCCGCCCTGAAATTGAAGAAGTGCGGACCCAGCTGCGAAACATCATCGCGGCTCGCAAGCAGTATAGGCCTCAAGCAGCTTGCGGACCTTGTTCCGAGCCGTTCCAGAACCACAGGCCGGGATGCCCCGTTGGCAACAATGAAGGTCTGAGCCCAAACAGGGGTAAAACCCCTCATAAAGAGGGCCATCCGCCACTTATCCCGATGACACAGGACGAGATCGCCGAAGTGAATCGTCGTCTCGGGATCCTGGGCCACTTGGATCCGAAACTGGAAGAGGAGAAGTCTACCCCGGTTCCAAGGGGAGGACTGGTGCCCATGACCCAGGAAGAGAAAGACGCGCTCTTTAATCTTCCTGGTATGCGAGGAAACTCGCCCGGCGTTTCTAGTCAGTCCCAACAACCAGAACTGACATCCAAGGATGAACAGAAGGCCCAACGTGTGGCGGAGGACGAGGAACGCACGCGGATAGCAGACGAACGCGCACGCGAGGCAACTCGCAAGATGTTGGAGGATTCCAACAAGATTTACATGAAGGGGGCTAGGAAACCCCCACTCCCACTACTTTCGAAGGCTAAGAGTGAAACCCCGGCACCGAAGTCGTCTTCGGAGGTGAAACCGAAGACACGCTCTCAGGATCCTGGGCCAGATGTGCAGATGGAGGCGCCTCGCTCTGCAACTCCGAGACCGCCGATTGGCGCAACTCCTGCACAAGCGTCTGAGCCCAAGCAGCAACCTCAGGACCCTGTGGAGGAACGGAGACGCCCGCCTAGTCGCAGCAGCCCCATTGCAAAAAGGGCGGCAGCCTTCGAGCGCACCGGGTACGCCCCGGCGCCAGCTTCGCCTGTGGCGGCCCGCTCCAAAAGGTCCGACGAAGGTGCTATTTCCAGGGGTACCTGGGTGCCGACGATTAGGGGCAGCGCCGGTCGCGGATCACCGCGGGGAAACCCGCCCGGCGCTGCCGCTGCAGCTTCCTCCTCTTCAGGAGCCGCAGCCTCTTCAGCGACAGAGGCTCCTATGCGGGGAAACCCGCCCGTGGATCAGCTGCACCACCCAGGGGACACGTCCTTCACCAGTGGGACTCCGAGCGTGCTCAGGGATAGACTTGCTCTGCGGAAGCTCCCACCGATACGCTCGGTGGATGAGGCATTCATGAAGAAATGCAGGCGAGCTAACATCCCTCCTACATCCAATCACACTCTCAAACAGCTGAGTAAAGCTCTCAGCAGGATATGCAGACATGCGCCAGACAAACCACACAATCCTGTGTGGGACATGGCTTCCTTCGATGATCATGATGGCTGGTTTAACCTCGCGGAGCTCGTGAATGATTATCCGTGGAACACAGGAAAATCGAGACACGATGGGTATAATCCAAGATATGACGAGGCCAAAGTCATCAATGCGAACCTATATGCTCGCACGGTTGACCAACTGGCAGCCATCATGATGGAAGTGGTTCATGTCCGTGAACCAGACGGAGAAGAAAAA